GGGGGGGGGACACCGCCCTTCCTTCCCTGGCGTCGCAAGCCTCGCCCTCCGGCCCAGCGAGCCGCAGGGCGCCCTCGGAGGAAGGCCGGGGGAGGCAGCGCGGCTGCCGTGGCTGGGGATTGGGAAGGGCCTCGGAGTCCCCCTGCGGCGGAAGGAGGCTTCCTTCCCTTCGGGTCCCTCGCCCTGCCTTGGCGCAGGCAAGGAGCAGACGGCCAGCGGGAGAGAGAAGCCTGCCCGTGCAAAGGCTCCTGCCTGCCGCCTTCTGCAGGCCTTTGGCCCCCGAGTAACCCCCAGGGCACGCCTCCACACACGCCGGGCAGCTCTGGGGTCCCTCTCGTCCAGCACCCTCCTGCCCCACCCGGCAGCCAAGCCCTTCCTCGGCTTCCTGGCTCTGGGATTCAGAGGCTGGCCGCCTCTGGACATGGAGGTTCCCCTCAGTCAGCCACCAGGGCCAGAAGCCACTGACAGACCCCTCCTCAAAGAGGGGCGGTGTGAGGGACACCCCCCCCCTCCTTCCTGAAATGGAGCCCTGCAAGATCCCCTCCTCACCTGGCTCCTTCGGCTGCTTCCGTTTCTGCCTGTCTGGTTTCCCTGCAACCCCCCCTCTTGTTGCTGACGAGCCACTCTGTGATGTCCTGTGCCAGCCCTGCGGCCCAGGTTCAGTCTCTCCCAGTGAAAAAAAGAACCAGGTTGGGGGGGGGGGGGATGTGGAAGACTTCCTCCAGCTGCCTGAGACCCCAGACCTGCAGTCTGAGCAGGCAAGACTGGCCTTGGCAGTTCTTTACCCGGACCCCCTCTGCCTCATTCAGGGTAAGGAAGCTTTGTCTGCGCTCCTTCTAAATACTTGCAAGGCTTCCATGCAGATTCCATCACACCATAAAGAAATGGATGCTCCCCCCCCCTCCCCAATGCTTCAGTAACCGATGCCAGAGACTAAAGAATCCTAAAGCCTCAAACTGACGGAACAAAAGTACCTGCTGAGTCCCTGCAGTTGGCCCAGTCCTGGGCCTGTTTCCTTGGAAGAAAATCAGATCCGACTCTTGGAGACGTGCACCCAAATGAGTATGTGGTGGACTGTGACCTGAGGCAGGCTTTGGGAGAGGGTTTGCAAGGGGGGGGGGTGTTTGTTCCAGAGGCCGTGCCTCATGTTCCCCAGAGCCATGCCAGTCAGAGTGAAAGGGCTGTGGGCAAAAGCTGTTCCCTCCCCAGCCTTGGAAAGAGCGCCAAAATCATCCCCCCCCCCCCAGAAACACAGAGTGCCCAGTCTCAAGTTTGCAGGAGAAAGAGCGAGCCATCCCCCTGCCTGCCACCTTTGGAAGCTGGTGCCCAAGCTCACTGGAGGTCAGCTGGGCTCCTGTGGTGTGCCCTCCCCAGCACTGGCAAGGGCTTGGCCTGGCCTCTCATGAGTGCCCAGCCTTCCGGGCAGCCCTGAGGCTTGTCTCCAAGCCGGCGCCAGAGCAGTTCAGCCTGCTGCTGCTGCTGCTGCTTTCCCAGTGGAGTGGGAGGGAGGGTGGGGAGCAGTCTGGGCAGCCCTGCTTCACCCCCACCCCGCCTTGACGCCCACACCTCCTGCTCTTGCCCTCCTGGGCACAAGACTTGAGGTCTTCTTGCTGGCTCTTTTCCTGTTCTGGGGAGGGGGCAGAGAGATGGTACATTGCTGGAATGCAGAGCGGGAATTGGATCAACATATGGAGCAGAGGTCCATCCGTGGCTATCAGCCACAAGGTCTAGATAGGAACTCTCGGTCTGGAGCAAGTGATGCTCTGTATTCTTGGTGCTCGGGGGGGGGGGGCAACAGGGGGAGGGCTTCTAGGGTCCTGGCCCCACTGCTGGACCTCCTGAAGGGCCCCTGGTATTTTTGGCCCCTGTGTGTGACACAGAGTGTTGGACTGGATGGGCCACTGGCCTGATGCAACACTGGCTTCTCTTATGTTCTTATGTCTGGGGCAAGGGATGCTCTGTATTCTTGGTGCTTGGGGGGGGGCAGCAGTGGGAGGGCTTCTAGTATCCTGGCCCCACTGTTGGACCTCCTGATGGCACCTGGTATTTCTGGCCACTGTGTGACACAGAGTGTTGGACGATGGGCCACTGGCCTGATCCAACACTGGCTTCTCTTATGTTCTTATGTCTGGGGCAAGGGATGCTCTGTATTCTTGGTGCTTGGGGGGGGGGGCAACAGTGGGAGGGCTCCTGGTGTCCTGGCCCCACTGCTGGACCTCCTGAAGGGCCCCTGGTATTTTTGGCCACTGTGTGTGACACAGAGTGTTGGACTGGATGGGCCACTGGCCTGATCCAGCACTGGCTTCTCTCTTATGTTCTTATGTTAACCTAAATAGCTTCACTGGATGCAGCAACCAGATTCATCTTTTTTTGGGGGGGGGTGAGTATTTTGCATGTGTGTGTGTGTGCGCACTTGTGAGCCTGGAAGTCATGGCGACTGCTGTCAACCCCTAGTGGGAGAGGTAGCTTTGATATTACATGCCTCTACGTCCCAGTCCTGGTATTCCTTGGAGATTGCCCTTCCAAGTCCTTGCCAGGGTCAACTCTGCTTAGCCTCCAGGATCTGATGAGATCGGGCTTGCCTGGACTATCCAGGTTGTTAGAGGTGGAGGCAGAATGCTACTCTGAGGAGGGGCAATATCCTCTGCTTCCACTCTCCTCTCTCGCAGGAACACAAAGAAGGTGTGTGATCTCTTC